CCGGTGGGTTTGCAGAGAATCTTCGTCTTGGAAAAGTCAATTTCGTGTGAGCCCACTGCGTTAAAACAATGATCAGCAACGGCAGAGGTATTGGTCCTACCGCTTTTCAGATCTGCCATTGCAATCATTGAAGACTTGGTCGAACAGGGACTGAATCCAGATGTACCAACTTTGGTAAGGCACTGCCTTACCAACACTTAGTTCACCTGGAATGGTACATTCTACAAACAAAACTAGGGTACCCCAATGGGTTCTCCCCTATCGCAAGTGGTAGCGAATGTTTTCATGGAGAAATTTGAGACGGATGCCATCCAGACATCCACCCTACGTCCTTCATTGTGGAAGAGATACGTAGATGACACGTTCGTCATCTGGTCACATGGCCTGCCAGCACTGAACGAATTTCTCAACCACATCAATTCCATACACCCATCTATCAAATTCACCATGGAAGTGAAAAAGGATGGCAAGCTACCATTCCTGGATGTTTAGATCGAGAAGAAACCTGATGGCTCGCTGGGATACTCTCTCGACAGGAAAGCCACCCACACGGATGCCTATCTAAAGCCTGACTCCCACCACCATCCAGCCCAGAAGAATTCCCTCATCAATACACTACACCATTGGGCCCGTTGCATCTCTGACCAGCATCACCTAGCCAGTGAGCTGGAGCACGTACGTACACCAAGCCCTCAGGATGAACGGATATTCTGAACATACAATCCGCAAATCTGTCTCCCTAGCCATGGGGAGACAAACAAACATATGAGGATCCAACCAATACCATCACTTTGCCATACATAGCAGGGGTTACCAAAAATATTTCCAAAATCTTAAACAAACAGAAGATCCAGGTTCGTTTCGCCACAGTACACCAAATCCGTGATTTGATCCCATCTGTAAAGGATGTGATTCCTGATATGCCATACCCGGGTGTCTACAAACTGAGTTGTGGCTGTGACAGTAGTTACATTAGGGAAACGAAACGATATGTCTCGGACTACGTTCGTGAACGCAAGGCAGATCTGAAACACGGTATGACCAATACCTCTGCCGTTGCTGATCATCGTTTTATGCAGTGGGCTCACACGAAATTGACTTTTTCAAGACGAAGGTACTCTGCAAACCCACCGGCTATTATCAGAGAATTGTTCATGAAGCCATCCAGATATATAAACACAGACACAACTTCAACCGAGAAGATGGATACAAACTGAACAATCATTGGAAGGACGTTATTAACCAGGTACAGTCTTAACTGACTGTGATGTTTCCATCCTACCTGCCTATGTCAGCTGTTATTTACGACTCTGTGTCTTTCTCTCTCTCTCTGCGCATCTCTCTCCGATCTCTACTCCAGTGACCCGGGTGCTGCCGTGGGGTCCACTTTCTGCCCTGCCTCCTTCCTCCTTTCTCTCTCCACCCCCTGCAGCTGATTTCTCCAGTGCTGCCGCGGTGGTCCACTTTACTCCAGTGACCCGGGTGCTACTGTGGGCTCCACTTTCTGCCCCACCTCCTTCCCCCCCCCTCTCTCCCCCCCCCCTACTGCCGAGGCCTATATAACCTCGTGCCACGGCAGATCTCTCACCTACTTCAGCAGTTTTTTTAAGAACACATTACTCTTTGTAAATCGGGGGATACCTGTGTATGTATTATTAGTTTATTTGTATTAGTTTATAAAAATAGTTTACACTCGTATAAAAATAATAGTCGCCATAAATACGGTATGTGGGGGAAAATATATATTAATATTTACCAGGTAAGGCGCACTGAGCTACATAGCTCTTTTTCAGAAGCGACCTGGCTATCACAAATAGCAGCCAAATATTCTAAACTCGTTACAAGTGTAGAGGAGTAGTGTGATGACATGACGTCATGGGCGCCGTGAGGCGTGATGACGTCATGTCATGAGCGCCGTAGGCAAATATCGAAAAGAATGAGGGCGGGTCTGAGTAAGTGGGAAGAGCCACCCAAGGAGGTACTTAAGGGGGACCCCGTGACGAAGGCGGGTCGTTGTGGGAGTCCGGGATGTGGATCGGCTGGAAGCAGGTCTCTCCTGCTCGTGACCGGACGGTGTCGGTTAAACCCCCGTCCGGGTGCGACGAGTGGGAGAGCCGAAGGGATAGCCAAGAGTAGGGCTCGAGGAAGTCTGAGAGAGCCGGCTAAGAGTAAGTGGGATTCTGCTCTCCTCAGTCGGGCGGTGTTGGCTGAACTGAAAGACGCAATAATATATCGACCATTGTTTTGTTAATTCACAGTTAATTAACATGCATAATGTACACGCATGCACATCATGCCTGTACATTTATATGTGTGCGTTACGTATGCGCATTCTGTCGTTTTTTTGGGGGGGTGCAAAAATCACAATAGCTGTTATTGGTGAAGAGTAGAGTACCGTACAACATTGTAGTCGGAAACTTTATGACGCTTTGGCGCCATCTGGCGTATGAATGTTACCATGCAACGTAACAAAAATTTTGGTCTTTTCTGGTAAAGTTTGTAAATATCGAATATGTTATGACGAAATACCACAGTACGTATAAATCGGGGTTTGTGGAGGTGTGGTGGTGAGTGGAGGTGTGTGGAGGTGAGTCCCGGGCCGATCTGGCGAAACCGGCAAAACCGCGCCAAAGGCCATGCTTGATTTAAGTGTCGAATATTATATATACAGTACATTATACACTACATGGAACTGAAAAAACTAAAATACTAAACGTATATACATCACCCCATGCAGATTAGTAAGTACGGGATAGTAAATGCAGCAACTTTTTAAAGTTGGATATTTATTTTTGCCTAACTGTATGTTTAGTTATGCCAATTTCAGATAATAAAGTTTCAACACAAAAATATAAAAACCTAAAAACACGTCATGCAAATACGGCGCCTCCTTCCCCCTGAAACTACCGGATAATCGATTATCTAACCTATACAGAACGGAACAGCTGTATACGAGAATAGTTTTGAAGCCAGCAAATAAAGTCAGGTGAGCACGCACAGTCACGGTTGCTAGTGAGTGGTGAGAGAGACCTTATGCTTGCAGATCAGGGATTGGGGGGAAATCCAACTAGAACTACGATTTTTTTTTTCACCAGGTAAGGCCCCACTGAACTATACTGCCCTTTTTCAGAAGCGACCTGGTTATAACAAAAAATATGAACCAAGAATGTGTGTCCCGCGTGTGATGTTACTCCACATGAGGCCCACCCCCACGCGTGACAAACTCCACATAAGGCCCACCCCCATCATTAATATTCATGAGTGGGTGGATTTTTACACTAACGCAGAGGAAGGTGGAGCCGAATTAAATATGTTTTATGCAAAGTCGCTTCAAATATGACGTTTCTTTACAGAAAATGACGGTGAAAAATAAATCTACGCAGCACAGCGCTACATCCGTACGTGACGTCATTGCAAAAGAGCCCCCCCCTTCATTAATATTCATGCCCTCGTGTAAATTTACACTAACGCACAAGGTCGCGCACTCCACATGCCGCACCCCTCCCCTCATTAATAATCATGAGCGGGTGACGTCATTCCACATGCCGTACCCCTCCACAATAACAATTAACCGGTGACGTCACTCCACATGGGGAACCCCCCCCCCCCTCATTAATAATCACGAGATGAACAATTTTTCTATTGAATATTTCAGTTTTACTACAATGTACACCCGTCATTGCACGGGCAAAAAGCTAGTCGCAAATAATAGCTCAACGAAGTGGCTTATCACCATGTGGAAATGTATAGCGGCAGCCAAATGCTCTAAATGCATGTTTGTAAATATAGAGGGAAAAAAAAACGGAGGAACCCAAGAAAAGTCCACACGACCACCACGGGGAGAGAGAGAGACGCAGACTCCAAATATACAGCAGCAGACATCAGGGTCCGGATAGAACCCAAGTCCACTTGTATATCAGGCGAGGGAGTTAACATCTAGCCACCGCGGCACAAATCACTGTACTTGAGGTTGGTAAAAGCTGTGAATATGCACTGTGTGAGCAAAAAAGTGCTGCACAGGTGGCGCAAGACTGATGAGACGCGTATAAGGGGCCGTCCATAAATGACGTCACGCACCTAGGGGGGGGGGTCAGACATTTGTGACGATGTGTGACGAGGGGGGGGGTCAAAAATCGTCCAAATCGCGTGACGTCATTTATAGACGGCCCCTAAGAACTTTGTCCATTGTGAATTTGAAGTTGTAGGCTATTGTGACTATTATAGTTGACAAAGACAAATAGCCCTCGTATAGCCTGAACAGACTGTTGGGGCAAGTGTTTTAGCAAAGTAGCACCTGTGGCACACAAGTGGGTGGGTGGCCAGCACCATAACCGGTCGCCTTTGTCTCCCTAAGTGGTGATGTTTACCCACCGCACCAGTTAGTCATTTGAGGCTGAGTCGACCTAAAGGAGGCCCAGAACCAATTCAGATAATCGCCGTTGGTGGCTGCGAGCAGGAATCATACTCTGGCCACCGGGTTTGTAGCGTAGCGCGCTAACCGCTACACCACACATACACAGCGTAGTCTGTTCACTATTTTGTTTTTGCTACAGTCGAACCACGTGACGTGTCTTTGATACGCAATGAGCAAAATACCCTGTCTTGTAGTGAAATAATTGTTTTAATTGTGGACTTGAAGGAAATTTATAACATTTTGTTACGATACGAAACGACAAAACACTTCCAGGTCACATTTGCAGATTTAACGACGGCTTTCGTAACCAATATTATCAATAATAGAGGTTTTTGGGTTAGAGCGTGTAAATATCAATGCGTCGAATGGTAAATGTTGTGAATGCACACTCCAACACACAACCGGTTAGTGCTGAACTCGGAACGAATTAGCTAAGTTGTATTTACGCGACAAACCTTAATGATTGGCCGTGTCCGGTGGTGGCGAGTTTAACGACACATTTATACTTACACGATCTAACCCCAAAACAAACCTCTATTTTAGATAACATTTACAGTATATTAAATTACGACAGTTAATCTCTGACCTCTTAGTCACCACCTTGGTCGTTTTGTCTTCTTTTGGTGTTACAACTCCTGTGGGGGTCACACACAGAAGCCGTGAAAAGCGCATTGACTGATTTTTCAATGTATCTCTGTGCACGTGTGTGCGAGTGGATTCGATAACTCGTAAATATCAAAGACGTTAAAAAATACCTGAGCATCAAGTTGTTTTTCATGCTGTAAGGGTTTTACCATGACGAGATCATTCCACGTATATGTGGTTAATGCACACATGAATCCTTGCGAAAGGTTTCAGTTTAGTGTTTTAACATCTTAACGCCTGTTTTATTGCCAGAAATGGTAAAACATTTTCTTATATTTTCATACTGGCAAGGGAGGTCCAATGATGTTAATTTGACAATATTGCAAGAACAAATTTGCAATGAAAGAAAATCACGAAAAGTTTATTTTCGGTGTTAATTTCACTTTCACTGAAAGGAAAATAACGATTGATATGACTCTCCCCCTTTGTACATACACTGTTGCCTATCCTGGATATATAAATATATTTATTCAAGAAGATCTTTTGGTTACTTTTTTGTCATACCAAAAAACTTGCTAATTTTATTTTTTGTTGGCCCTTGTAATTTCCGTAGGCCCTGGGCACAGTGGCTACTGTGGCCCATTAGATAATACGGCGCTGATCAGTGCACATTGCAGCAGAACGAGACAGGGGGCATGGAACAATAGGAAAGAGAACAAAAGAAACCCGTCACCACCTCGGTGGCTATGATCGACGGAGCAAACTTTACTCTTTGATTATTTCGGTAAAGTCCTTGCAAAATGTTTCAGTTTGGTGTTTTAACATCTTAACGCCTGTTTTATTGCCAGAAAGGGTAAAACGTATTTTTATTACACGCTTTTTATTAACTTACTCTGTTGTTGTCGTTGTATCCTCAAATATTGTAACTCAATTTTTACCCACTTGCCAGTGTGTTATCGACTGCAAACTTGGTATACTTATGTCATACGGATGACTACTATATTCTATCATTAAAAATATATATATAAAAAAAAACATTTATGTTATGTTTCGGCTTGGGTCTAATTGTCCACGGTAAACTGACTTTGGCTGTAAATCACCACGGTCCCTTACGTTATGGGAAGCTTCGGGTCCACTTCCTGAAATCGTGGAGTTCTTGCATTACTAGTACGGTACATTTCATAAAAGCGTGTTTAAAAAAAGTTGTTTTAAATATTACTTATTTATATGTCAAATTAAATATACTTATCTACGACTTACAGCGTGCTCCCATTGAATGAGGAAGACTGAACAATGCACCTATCAACAGTAACGACATCTGTCCAGCAGCTGGAAGAAGAATCAACGCGTGAAACAAGCTAACAGCGGCGATAGTAGTAACATGGAGCGGAAGAACCAGCTGTAGGAAGTTATTACTGAAGGCCCAACGAAACAGAAGTGCTGAGGGCCTACATAAACCTTAATCCGGACCTGGCGTTGATGTTTACTCTATTGAGAGCGATATTGGCGCACACGCAAAATAAAGATTGATTGATTGACTCGATTAAACACTTTGTGTTTTCACGTAAAGTGGTAGTTGGGTATGAGATTGGGATGCATTTAACTCGCCCAATCACTCCCTCGCTTACTCAGCGCACTTATTCACTCACAACACTCACTGACCCACACTAACTCGCCCACTCATTCACCCACACCACACCACTCACCCACAAAAACACCCGACTCACTCATTCACCTACACCACACACACACCACTCACCTGTCGTTGTGCTGGCCAGTCGATTCATGAGGAAGGATTTTCCAGTTCTGTATTTTCCAACTATTGCCACCACCACCACCGGTTTGTCTATTTTACCCAGAAGATCAGCGGTTTCCTTGTTGACGTAGAACTTTGAGTTCTCGTCGGTCATGATGAACGGCATAGGCCTTGGTGGATATAGAGATGACATGGTGATACGTCTCTGTGCGTTTGTGTGTGTATCTAAGTGTGTTTATTTGTTCCTATAAGTGTGCACTCCTGTACGTCTCTATGTGTATCTCTGTATGTCTAAGTAGTGTTCTCTGGGGGGTTTGTTTCTATGTTTCTGTGTGTATGTATGTTTGTCACTACATTTCTGTGTATATGTACGTGTATGTTTTTTTGTGTTTCTGTTTATGCGTGTGTCTAAGTGAGTGTTTCTGTGTATGTATGTATCTTTCAGTCTGCTGTGCCTCTGTGTCTATGAGTGTCTATCTCTAAGTATTTCTGTGCTTTGTTAAGTTGGTCGGTGTCTATATTTCTCTGTCTCGGTATCTCTAAAAGTGTCAGTCTCTGTGTATGTGTTTTTGTATGTGTCCTGAGTTCGTGTCTACGTGTTTTTCTCTATCTCTAAGTCTGTCTCTGTGACTGTGCGTGTCTGTCTCTTGCCGCGTAAATCTCGCGCAATGAAGGGCAGAGCGTTTTTTACCTTTAAATTCCTTCTATGTGTGTGAGTGGGGTTTAAACAGGATGTGCTGGTTTAGGCTTGGTTAAGCGAATCTTCCTTTTTGGAATGAGAAAACATTAACAACACACACACACACACCTACACACTCGTAATGATGATTATAACATCATTAGACCTCCTTTGCCAGTACCAAAATATAAGAATAGGGTTTTTCCCCTTTTTTCTGGCAACAAAACTGAAACCTTTTTACAAGGAATCATGTGTGCATTAACCACTATACGTGTGGTCACAATGCAAATAAAAAACACACTGATAATAAAGGCATTGACCTTGAAACTGATTGGTCCACACCAGAGACGGATTTCTTTTGAGCTTTGTCTCAATCAGTGCTAGACCAGATGACACCAAAAGGCGTACAGCTCAAAGACAATGCAATATCAAAGTAATGAGGGCTTGGGGTAAGCATCTACATCATTAGACCTCCTTTGCCAGTACAAAAATATAAGAATAGGGTTTTCCCCTCTTTTTTCTGGCAACAAAACTGAAACCTTTTTACAAGGAATCATGTCTGCATTCATCACAATACTTGTGGTCAAAATGCAAACACAAGTATTGTGGTTAATGCATACATGAAAAAAAAAGTTTCAGTTTTGTTGCCAGAAAAAAGGGGAAAGCCCCTATTCTGATGATTATAACAATGCTCATTGTTTTTTATATAGCGCTCTATATGTCAGGGCAAATCAAAGTATTTTTATCCTACCACATCTAAAACATTTAACAAGAGAACTCATGGCAGTTGTTCCTGGGGGGTAAAACGTGACAGCACCTTGCCTGCAAACCATCACGAGTCTAATTTAACTCGCAGGTTCTCACGACCGGTATTACGATGCGTATTTTGTGTTTGTATTAACATGGTTTGCTACGTACGGTGCAAAAGAAGTTCAACATATATAGAAACATACATTAATACAAATGGTGTCCGACATCACAACCTCAATCAACTGACAGCCAAACAATACAAGTTGTTACACGTACAAGAAGATGTCGTGCCACAGACTTAAACCGTTTAACACCGAGGCTTTTGTCACCAATATTTTCCACAATGGATACTTTTGGGTTAGATCGCGTGAATATAAATTTGTCGTTAAACCCGCCACCACCCGACACAGCCAATCAGTAATGGTTTGTCACGTAAACAAAACGCAGCCAATTTGTTATTAGTACAGCACGAACCGGTCGTGTGTTGGAGTGTAAACCCACTACAACATTTATAATTTGAGTACCTGGTGACGTTTCGCCAGTAATCAAGACAACAGCCAGCATCATCAGGCGACAGCCCATAGTTGTGGAGAAATCCTCCTGTTTCGGTCTTAAATAGACGGGGGTAATAAATGTGACTTAAACAACCGCCGCCAACATCTCACACCATCGGCCAGATTTCAAGAAGGCTTCTGCCAAACTCGCCCCACGAAGACCCCATACTTTATAAGATTGAAAGCATTTTTAAGCAGGTGATAAGGCGGGTCGAGGTTGCCAGAATGATTGGCCTAGAATGTGCAAAAAATATGGCATCTTTCACTGCCGATAAAATCTCATACAGCACATATTGAATTCTTCGAAATTTTGGAAATATTTAATTGTCTGGGTTGAAGATAAAAAATCAACATAGCTCATCAACCGTCTGTGGCACGTTTAATCTAATTACGTGTATTTATTATGAGTAAACATGTATGTAGACTTCATGATGTTTAGTAAAAAAATGTGTTTCCAGAAATGTAGGCAAGGAACGAGACCCCCTCATGTTATCATGATGTATAATTGAGAGTGTACTTTGAGTAATTACGAGTTTTCGTAGCATTTCCCAATAATATTTACCTTTATTATAGTAGAAGATTCATGTGCTTTTATAATGTTTTTATACCCGTCTCTTCCCCTCCGACGAGGCTTCGCAGAAAGCTCTGCAAAAATAGCAGACCATTTCCTGGGGTTTGGAGATCGTACCACCATTTTCTCCCTTAAGGAAAGTAAAAGGCTGTGGCGCTGGAAGCTATTTTTTAAATGGAATTAGAGAGGAGAGTGATTTGTGATCACGGGCTAACGAGGCAGATTAAATCTCCTCAACAAGCCGCGACCACAACTCATCCTGCGGTAAGCCTCCTCATGCTGCAATGTTGTATATGGTGGGAGTGGGCCTGTAGTTTTATTTCAGCCAGCTGGAACACCTCTGTCAGCCATGGTCTCCGGGGGGTCTGGACTGTAAACTTAATGTAGCCATTACAGCTACATGAGCCACAGTCTTGAAGCTCACCCATTTTTGCTTGGCATCAGGAATAGGGGGGGATGGATTATGGTAACACCACCTGCAAGAGATGATACAATTCTATTCCCACTTGCAACTATCAGGCTATTGTGAATTTGAATGGGGTCCTAGATAGACACCCACAACCGCAGTGGAAGAATGGCAGGTGCATTTTACAAATGACAAACCGATGGTCAGTAGGCAGATCGGCTCCACGGTAGGTCCTGGTGTCAAGGACATGGGCCTACATCTGATTTGTCATTAACGCCCTTTGTCATGGAGAATGTTTTTATATACAGTATAACCCCTCAATCTAGATTTGATATAACATCTCTTAACGACCACCCCTGTTAAGGACTAATCGCTTAAAAACGAACCTCCATTAAGCCCAAAATGTAGTTTATAGTGTAGTGTATAGTAGTGTAATATGTGTTAGTGTATAGTAGTCGAGTTCCTTCATAGAGCCCAATGTGTTCGCTTACCGACCATTCTCTTGTAAATATTAATTCATGCATTGATTAACCATGTTGTTTTTATGTTATGTGTTCATAATGTTAGTATCTATATGGATTAATATGCATTGTTAAAATATTCCAAAGTACTTTTTTGGGTGAAAAATTGTAAATTTCGATGCTATCGGAACAAATGAAGCCTTTAACGTGTATTTGCCAAAACTCGCTTAACAACCAAATCACTTAACGACCTATTTCGTGGAACCAATTGCCGTCTTAAGAGTAGTTCTACTGCATATGAAAAAAATGTAAGCATCAAAACAATCTAACAAAACGCTTTTGAGTGAGAACAGCTAAGCAGCACTGGGCAAGGTAACATAGCCCACCCCCCATCATTCACTCAGCCAATGAGAGCAACGGACGCTGTGATTCGATTGCCCACGATATAGTCACGATTGTATTTATAAATAGAAGAAACATCTATTTCGATTTAAAGCTTTCGTGACTGCAGGGATTCATCTTCTTGGTTCTTTCGGTAAAGTCACGTAGAAGGGAAGTAATAAAATAATAAAAATAAAACATAATAAAATAAAATAATTCTCACGACGTTTCGGCTACAACGCAAGCAGCCGTCTTCAGGTGAAGAATGAGACACTACCAAGCTAGGAGCTTATATATAAGCTCCTAGCTTGGTAGTGTCTCATATTTTATTATGTTTTATTTTTATTATTTTATTACTTCCCTTCTACGTGACTTTACCGAAAGAACCAAGAAGAAACATCTATTTGTTAAGCCAGTGTGATAACTCACGATGCCAGGATAGAATATCAGGCTCCACCTAAAAAAAACACTCACTGCAGAAATGTAGAATTGAGGGCATCGCTCAGATTACAGAGCTCTTGTACTGAAAATTACCCGGATTCGGAGTCCAACAGCTCCCCCAGTGTTGCCTTGTAGGAGGAGTGCAGCAGAATGTACTTGTGAGGACAGGACATAACACTGGTGTTAACATAATAAATTATGATACGTTTTGTTGTGAAACAATGTTTACCATCTGCATTATTATTCTTCGGCAGTATTACCGATGCCCCCATGAAGTCCTCATATATTGCTCATCCCCATGTATAAAATAGCACCGATTCGATTAGCACTCAATTCTCCAGGAACGCATCTTGAGTGCTACGCGAGGGCTTCCTGTATATACAACAACAATAATAGTCGCCACTTGCCACTAAATGGCAGTGACGTCACCACGGCGCCTGTGCCAGGCCAGGTGCACTTTGAGGCCACTTAAAGCGTCGAAGGCTCGCTGGCAGGAGGTCAAAGGACAACCCCAGGTGCCATGGCTTGACTGAATGAGATTTCAGGCGGATGCACCACCTATGCTCCATACACATGTATACACACAACCCATATCTACAAAAATACATTAGAGGATCTCTGTATAATAAATCGGAATCAGAATATATTTTTGTATACTGCAGGAGAATTCCGAAAATCTATTTTTCACAGATGTCCAGTTGGGGCATGGGGTAAGAACGTTACAACAACACACAATACAAAACTACGATAATAGTGCAAAATACAAGAAAGGTAAACAAATCACCCAAACACGTACAAATAAACTAAACCATCGCCATCCTACCAGGCAAAGCCCACTGAGGCATTAATCTGTTTTTTAGAAGCCACCTGGCCACCACGAATGTTAGCTCAACAAAGTGTTGTTGAGCATGCACCTATAAACCAGCATAGGCACACGAGAGAGTGGTTAAACGAGCACCTCCGCGAAGCCACGTTTGTATCCCCAATGCTGGTATTTACACACTACAGCAATGGTTCTTCTTAACCTGGGGTGCACACATCCCCTGGGCATGCGAGATGCCCTTTCTGATGGTGTGAGACATGCCATATATTTTTAGAAAGACAAATTTAGTTTGATCACGCAAGTACAAACCCTATGTATTTATTAACATTATACATTGTTTAACTATTGAGAATCAAAGGGGTGCAAGGCTGCAGTCAAGGTAAAGAACCACTGCACTACAGAGAGTCCTCGTTTGACACCGAGTCAATTTCGTGTAGCTTGTGGACTAGTTCAGATATACTGTCATCAGCGGGAATCATTTTCAGGTCGGCGGGTGCACCGTACAGCGGTGGTCCAGATGTCATATGACCCGCATTAAGCAATAAAAATTAAATAAAAATGGAAGGGGTCAATTAATTGGGGGTCACAA